TATATTTATTAAATAAATTGTAGAGTCCTTAGTCGCTTAGATGAATTTTTATAAAAATGTATTTATGTGTTATGTATATATATGTGTTTTTAATAATATTTTTTAGATCAGGATTTTCAGCTTCTAATATATTAATCTCCCGTTTCTCCCCCCCATACTTTCTGCGTTCTCATTTATGCGTGTGCCCAGGTGTTACACGTATGAGTGAGAAACGGTTGATATGGGTTTAGTTTTAAGTTCTTCCCCTCATATTGGCGGCTGTCATTGTGCTAGTGATTGCACGGTGTACATTGCACTTGTGTGTGCGTTAGGTATGTGCATTGTACATCGTTTCGTGATACGTAATACCGTGCTTATTGTTTTTTAAAGTTATTGAATATAAAAATAACTTGTAGAGTCACGCGTAACGATACGAATTTTTTTTTTTTAACAATCGTTTTGCATAGTAGAGTTTACTGCATTTATTTGTGGAAACTATAATATACTCGTATATAACTAGTATGCAATATATACTAGTGTATACTTGTATTTTTGCATTAGTCATTTATGCAATAATCACTAGCCTTGGCAGACGATTACAGCAATTGGTACGTACCCCCATAAAATTAGAAAACACGCGTTTGAACTAGGGTGTCGGGGGTGCCCCGGGGCATGCTCTCTAGTTTAGGCTTTTGCACCCTGGTGGTATGTGAGAGAATCGTGGAGTGAGTGGGTGGGTATGTATGTATGTTTGTTCTTTTTAAATATTGCCAATATGCAAGCAGATAGTATACTTAGGTGTGAATGTTTATTTAATTTGTAAGTAGGTAGGGACCGGAGAAGTCGCGTGATTGTAATTTCCACTCAGAAGTGGACAATTTCTTCTCTGGATATTATACAAAGTTTCAGCAACCTTTAGATTCATTTATTATTTAAATATTTCTTGTATTTTTTTCGATATATTGCTGATACTCTGTAACGCGAGATATAAATCAGTATCGAACGATTCAAAAGTCTTTGCGTTTTCTTAAAAATTAATTTTTTTTTCGAAAAAGTGAAGATAACTGCTGAATACGTTGGATACTTAATTAATATTAAGTATATTAACACTTTGCTCTTTAGTAATTCCTACTGAAAATACTTCATTTTTTATATATTCATAGTAAATACAAAGTAGAATAAAGATAAAAGATAAAAGTGGTCGAATTAAAAAGTAAGACCATAAGATGTATGACAAAGTTTGTGCATTTGTTTGATATTATTTCATTTTTTTAATGTAAAGTGTTAATAATAGGTTCATCGATTAGATCAAATATTTCTGTTGAGGCATTCGAGTAAATATTTAAAAAAAAAAGCCTCACAGCAGTGTTTAGGGCATGAAGAAAGAAGAGGCTAAATGCCGAAGAGGCTAATGCCGAAGAGGCCCTCACAAATTTGTGGTATCAAGTGGGCAACTACTAGACTATTAAGTTATTTTCAAAAGTTCAACAACAAGTTCGAACTTTTCGAGAATAGCTTTATAGTCATATTTTATATTTTATTGTATAATTTTGTTGCTCGTCATTAATTTGTAGTTGTAATTGGAGATGATGGACCATTCCATCTCCTTGGGACACGAAATTCGTGTTCATATCGTCCGAAAGGTGCATAAGTTTTTAATTAGTTAAAGTTAAAAATATTAAAATTCTCGTATTATTAAATTTTCAAGCTTAAATAACGTTCGGTAAATATTTTAAAGTAATTTCATTTTTCTTGTTTCGTCTTTAAAATTTGTCATTTTGATCGTATTTTATTAAATTTGCAATTTTTTTTGTTTTTCTATATATAATGCAGCTTAAAAATATTTCATAATAATTAATAGATATTATATTTATTTGTAGTAACTTAATATTTGTACTTTTCCTATTTCTTCAATTTTTATATATTTTATGTAAATGTAAAATCACGCGTTTAAATTTAATTTTATATTGCAACGGTAAATAGAAATTTGATAAAACTAAATATAGAATTCAATTGAAAAGTGCATCTGTGAATTGGACGATTTATATGTTAGGCCATTGTATCACTTGATTGTATGATTAATATAGTTTGCTTTTTGTTGCAGGTGATCATCGTTGGATTTAACATCAAACATTTTTTGCTTTTCTTGTATTTGTGTACCTTTTAAAATATCTATATATATATAGATGCATTTCTGAAGGCACACATATATAAATATTAAATATGCAATATATAATTATTTAAAATTCTATAAAAAATATATCTTCAAATATTTGTGGTAATGTATCAAAGATTTTCAATTTGTTTGTTAATAAAATATTGAATCAATTAAAATATCTTTTTCAGCTCTAAGATTTTAATAATAAATCTACGCGTGTGTCGTTTAAATTTTTCTATTAATATTTGTGACAGGTATTATATAACGTGAGATTACATACATTTTTTTTAATTTTATTTCGATTGTTTCTATGATACGAGAAAAACTTGAGAGTATTAGAAATGAAATTAGTAAAATAAGAGTGGAGGGGAGGGGAGGGGGGGAGTGCATACAGGTAAATATATTTTTTATTTACCCTTAAGGCACTTTCCACTTCTGCGAAGGTTCCAATATCCTCAACGTTAGGAAAGGCAACCATTTCTGCAGGGAAAAATTGCTGAAACATTAAACAAACAATAATATTCAATTAATTCGTATTTAATCAGGTAAATGCAATGAGAGATGCAATGAGAGATGCAATAGAAAATTAAAAAGAAACAAACATAAATATATATATCATCAATCGTTAAATTTGTTCGTTCGTTGGTTCGTAAACCTTAAAGACGATCGTATCATTTTTTTTTCTTTTTTCTTTTTTACATTTTCGATGTTCTACCTTATAATAGAGTATACCTTTTACTTACAAACCCAAGAAGACTCGATCGCGTGCGAACCTTTTGGAAAAGTTTAGGCTTAAAGTCTAGAAGCCGATAACATCGAGAAACACGAAAGTTATCGTCGAAGCTCGAAGAAGAAGAAGAAGAAAGTTTTCGCGAGAAACGCGATAAGACTCAACAATCCGAAAAGTTTTTCGAAATAGGAACCGATAAAACCCAAGCAAGCGCGATCTCGTGTTCTCGATAATTATCGAATTTTCTCGAAGAGAGTTTCGCGAGCTTCTAACTTATACTATCACGTCAAATTTTTTCTTTTTTTTTCTCCATATTGATTTTTATTTAATTAATTATTAATAAGACACTTATATATTCACGTGTATCAACGATTTAACGAAATTTCATTTTTCAATTTCGACGTGTACCCTTTGTTTTGTTTTTTAATTTTATTTTCAATAGATTTCGGTCGTACTAAATTGTCTCAACAAGCGGTCACCCAATCCAAGTTCTAATCAAGCTCAGCGTTGTTTGACTTAAATGATCGAGCGGAAGCTCGTACTGTCACCGCGCTATAGCATCGTCATATTAATTGTTAATTGCTGATAAAAGTGAAACAAAAATAAAAAGAAAAGAGAATCTTTTAATTATTTTTTATTTATTTATTTATTTAATATATTGATTATACATTTGTGTTTGAGCACAAAAATTTGTCAGTGCACTTAATTAAATAAATTAGATTGATACGCGATCGAAATTAATTAGAACATCGAAAATGTAAGTAAATGGTTCCCTTTTCTTTTTTTTTTTTTTTTAAATTTATGTGGTTGTACCAAAGGTAATACATAAAAAGAAGAAGAAGAAGAAGAAGAAAAAACTACCCGTAAAAGTTATTGTGTTCTAAGGGAGAGTTAGAAGTGAATCGAAACCGTAGAATGGTATTCGCTCGATGGAATTTTATCCGAGAGAAAAAGGATGGATTAAATCGACGAAATTAAACGTTGAGAGGCAAGCATAGAGTTTTCCAATTGAGAGAACCGAAATAAAACCGAGTAAATCGGAGTACGGAGGGGGATTGTGGAAGGGTGAGATAGGGAGTGAATGAAGGGTGAGAGTTTAAGTGATGGGTCGTAGAATTCTGTAGCTAGAACGTAACTTCCAATTGTTAGGAGATGTAAAACAAAGATATAAAAAAGGTTTAAACTATTAAAGAGAATAGGGATTAAAGAGATGGAGAGAGCAGGGGATAGGGGGGGGGAGCGGCGAAATTGTTTGAAAAGAATAATTTTTATAAATTTATTTCGAAATATTGAATATTTTATTCGAATTTCATTAGAATCTAGATCCTAAGAAAAATGATAAACTTAATAGACAATTAATGAAAAATCATTATAATAAATCATATGGTTCATGAACATTATTAATATTTTTCATTTTAATATAATATTTTATAATTTAATATAATAACATTATTAATATAGTTACAAGTTCCCTGTGATTACGTATTAAGAATTATAATTTTGGACGAGAGAAATAACTAATTAAATTATTAATATATTTCAAATCAATTAAATATCTGATTTTTGTATTTTTTTTTTTTTATTAAACTGATCGTCTAAAATTCGATTGTTATTTAATATTTGAATAGAAAATATTTATATTACTTGAAATTGTTAGTAGTAATTATCCTAATCGAAATGATAAAAAAACAGAAAGGGTGAATTTAAGAGACAGAGAGATAAGGAGAGAAAAGGTGGGGGGGGGGAGAGGTGAAAAAGTGAACGGTGGGGGAATTCTTTCAAGCGGAAAGTCCAATCAATACTAATTACGAATTATGTTAATTAAGTCGTTATATGGTATTTCCTTTAATTAGATACTAATTTGCTTGCAAAATCGTTCGTTCGTTCGAAGAATCAGCGAAAGAGTCTCGAAGGAGACTCACTTATCGAAGTTTCCGGACTCGTTTCGCTTTAATTGGCGTCTCACGACTGAAAACGGTCAAAATAGCGATAAAGTTTCTGCCATTCTCCTCTATCACCCCCTCCCCCCAACCCCCCTCCAACCCCCACCGAACTCCCCACGCGTAACAGTTTACTTCCAATTCGTTCGTACTGTCTTGAAACTTGTTTCGACGTTACACCGACGCTTAATTACTAGCTTTTCAAGTATTTTCGAAGTTTTCCTCGAACGAACGAACGAACGAACGAACGAACGATGTTTTTTTAGAAAATTTATTTGTAAAATTAAAGTAACGATAAGAGACAAATTAAAAATGTGTACACAATAATCTACGTGACAAATTTTGTTATACGGGAAAAACCTAAAAATTGTCTAATTAGAATTTTTTCACTTATTTTTTCATTGATATAAAATAAATGTTAAAATTTGGTTAAGTATATATAATAAAACGTGTGCAATAAAGTCTTAAAAAGTTATAATTAAAAGGATATTATTATGATGTTATTATTAATACGATACAATGAATAACAATAATATAAATTACGATTGTATTATGCAACGATAATAATCGTGTTAAACGACAATAAAGTATTGTCATCAATTGCAACGTGCATTGCATTTAAAACGAGAGATCGTTATGCATGTTGCACTGAATCTTCGTTTAATTCACACATAGGATGTATATTATAATCAATAATAATTTCATTTAATTTATTTTTCGTTCGAATAATAATAATAATCATCATCATCATCATCAGCATATAGAAAACGTGCGATAATATGCACAATGTCATAATTATGAATATTTTTATGGAAAAATTAGTATATAATTGAAAAATATTATTTTATCGTTATATGATATAATGATATAATATATATAAAATTTGTATCATGTGTGTGAGAAAAGAATTTACCTTATCTTGATAATAATAATACATAGATAAAAAGTTTAACTATAATTTTACTATTAGAAAATATAACAGGAATCTATAGTAACATGAACAAAACTATCACGAATCTTATGTCGGTATGGTAGAAAGTTATTTAACTCTTTGCAGTAAAAAGAAATTTACTTTATACGTTGATAAAACAGAACACTGTAATACAGAACACTGTAATACAGAACACTGTAATACAGTTTTTTAATTTACCATCGAGTGATATAAACTAAATAAAGACTGTATAGATATCTGTTGATTTTACGAGTAATTATTAAAAATATTAACGATTAGAGTAATTTTTTTTTTTTTCATTTTTTATTTTAACTAATTAATCGATCTAACCTTTGGCTTAATGAAGAACTCGTATTTAAGAAAGTCCTGACGAAAGTAAAATTTTCTTTCGTGATGTGGCGCAAACGTTTCCATTTCCCTGTGAATTGCCAATATATCCTCGTGGTCTTCCAATGTTCGTTCTGCAAAAAAAAAAA